GCGTGAAATGCTCAGTTCTGCGCACACTCCACTGCGGCCTTTCTTCAGGAACTACCGCACTTGTGCTCCGATCCTTCCCCTGGCCTCCGGGGCACCAGCTGGTGGTGGGCACTGCTGGGTGAGCCCATTGGCCTCAGCCTCGAAGCCCTGCCTGCCATCTCATTCTCTCCATTGATTTCCACTGGGTGATGACCGTGGGGATCACAGCTTTGCTTCTGACTTCTAGCTGGCTGTAAATTCACGCAGAGGCTTACATGTCACTGATGAGGCCCTGCCTGAGGCCAGGGGAAGTCGTCCAGAGCAAGAATCTCAGCTCTGCCATTCGGTGAATACAGGATATGGCGAATCTCTGCCTCTCTCTACCTCAGTGTCTTCACTTGTAAAAGGGGAAATGATTGGGTCGGCGGGAAGTCCTGATACATAATTGCATAAAAAAGTCCTAACTTTCCTAGTGCCCTAATGGTATCTCCCTTTTAGGAACAGTCTAAGGGACTCCAAGAAATGTGCTGTGAAATGCTTAGAGCCTACTCGGCACACAGAACACTCACGAGAAAGGCAAATTCGTGTTATCCTTTCTTTTTGCCTCTCCCCTTTACCTTCAGTTCGGTCATCAGAATTTCCTCAGTGTCTTATTTCCCCTGGACATCGGGCTGTGTGACGGGCACAGTTCAGCTCGCTCCAGTTTGCAATCTGATTAGGTTTCCTAGCCACAGACGATGGCTCCCCCTGGCCTGTCTGTCTTTGGGAAGATGTCCGTGCATGCACACTCAGGTGGGTCTCCCTTCCAGCCTTTCTCCACCCCTGCATTGGCGCTGGCCGCTGCCCCTCCCTGCTCATTCCCCTCCTTGTCCATTCCACAGTCCTGGAAGTCCCGTTGACCTGTCTAACTCCTGAGTCTGAGTCTCACTGGACTCAGCTCTGGGGGCAGGAGGCTCCTCCATGGTGGTCTCCACTGCAGCCTGAAGACCCAGCAGGATGCCAGAGCCCATACGTAAGTGTTGTTGGGTGAATAACAACAAATATGCACGTGGTGAGGCAGAGCCCGAGTGAGATGTCGAGGGTTCTTTTTTAAAGGTGCCCATGGGCCAAAGGAGGGTCCTGTTCTCTTCCTTCTAATGGGCTTTGACTTTCATTTCTGTGAAGGAAGTCCCGTTTATCACCACATAGTTCTTTTTCCTCTCTGGTAACCCTTTTTTTTCCCATGGAAATACCAAGTTAATGGAGCCCACCACATGAGCAAAAGTCCATTAGTTTATTGGACCCAAGGCACTTTGTGTGTTCACTCCAGTCATGCTTTGAGTAAGGAATTCCGGCCTGCTGAAGCAATGTCACCTGCTAAGAAACACAGGCGCTCCACCCTCTCTTTCTGTGAAAGTAAAGCTCTTGCTGTTTTTCCGGATAGACAGCTGTGATCATGTGACCCAATCAAACATTAACTTGTGTGGATTGCCGTTCATATGCATAAATGCAGAGGGCAGGCTCCTGGAAGGATCTCAGGCAAGGGCACGATGGCAGCTGCCTTCCTGGGCCTTCGGCTGCTGGTCCTGAGCCTGCTGCTGTGTGCCCTGGGCACCCCCATGTCACATGCCGGGAAGATACTGTTGGTCCCGATGGAAGGCAGCCCCTGGCTGAGCATGGTGGGAACTGTCCAGCAGCTGCACCAGCGGGGTCACGAGATAGTGGTTGTGGCCCCTGAAGCCTCGATATACATAAAAGAAGGAGCATTTTACACCTTGAAGACGTACCCTGTGCCGTACCCAAAGGAGGAGTTGGAAGCAGCTTTTGTCAGTTTCGGGCACTTGAGTTTTGATAATCTTCCTTTCCTGCAGCGTTTTGTCAAGCTATACAAGAATGCGCAAGAGAACTCTGCCCGGCTTTTGTCCTCCTGCCACCACTTCCTGTATAACAAGGAGCTCATGGCCTGGCTGGCCGAACAAAACTTCGACGTCATGTTGACAGACCCGTTCCTTCCGTGTGGCTCCATCGTGGCCCAACGCCTGGGTCTGCCCACGGTACACTTTTTGACTGTACTGCCATGCAGCCTGGACATGGCGGCCACCCAGTGCCCCAGCCCGCCGTCCTACGTGCCCAGGTCATTTTCCTTTAACCCAGACCACATGAGCTTCCTGCAGCGGGTGAAGAACATGCTCATCTCCTTGTCAGAGAACTTACTGTGCAACATGGTTTACACCCCTTATGCACAACTCGCCTCGGAATTCCTCCAGAGAGACGTGACTGTCCAGGACCTTCTGAGCAGTGCGTCTGTCTGGCTGATGAGAAGCGACTTTGTGCTCAATTTCCCCAAGCCCATCATGCCCAACATGGTGTTCATCGGTGGGATCAACTGCATGAGCAAGGCCCCCCTATCCCAGGTGTGTATCTGAGTGGGACCTTTATCTGCCTGGACAGAGCTTATCCAGAGGCAGGCTGTAGGAATGCGCTGAAGTAGTTTATAGTGCCCAGCGTTGGAACCAACAGCATAATGGCTATGTCGCTGGACTCCCATGTTGCTGACCATGGTTTGAGTCCTGGACCCAGTTGCTTAAACTCATGCCCGGTGCGTGTGCATGCATGCATGCTCAAGATTCCGAGAGGATATTGGAGGAAAAGGAATTGCAGCGTGGCCATCTTCCCTGGGGGGGTGATTTCTTGCTTTCTATTTCTCTGTCTGTCGGGTGAGCACCCGCACCCTATAGCAAAAAAAAAAAAATTTTTTTTAAAGGTTTTTGCCATAGGGTGCATGCGCTCACCAGACAGAGACAGAGAGACAGAAAGTGAGAAATCCTCTCCAAAAGAAAAAAAAAAGTAAAATGCCCAGTGTTGTTCATTTCCTCTTCAAAAAAGTATATTTCTCTCTTTGTTTCTTGAGAGAGAGAGAGAGGAAGGGAGGGAGGTGTCTCCAACAGGGACCTCACTCTGTAATCCATCCCCTGCCTTGGCCACCCCAGGTCATGTGTGTGCTCTGGGTGTGTCCAGGGAGACCTCAGGACCTGAACCCAAGACGTTTCCATGTGGCCTCAGCAGTGCCAGCATTGCTTCATTGCCAAGCCACCACAGCTGGCCTTCTTGTGTTACATCCTGGCTCACAAGTCGTAGTTCCGAGTTTATCTGTCTTTGGCGTCATCTTCTGGGTTATTTTATGTATCTGAGGTTGTGGTAAAATGTTCTTTGGGCACTGTAATGTGTGTCCAGTGGACAGCAACCTGTGAGATGCTACAGGGGTAGAAGGCTTTAAGCATGGATCATTATTTCAGGACGTGGCAGGGCAGGAAAGTAGGCAGCACACACCGTGCCTCACCAGGGTCAGGCACCACCCAGGTCAAGACTGACAGCACAGCTCTTTGTTCTCTGTAGAAGCTGGCAAGGCACCTTGGCCTTGATTGTTCTGGCTCAAGCTCCATTCTTTAGATAATCCAATAGCAAGCTAGATCTTGCAGTCCCTTCTCTCCCAGTAAATGAATAACCAAGCATTGAGGTTCTGACACTGGATAGACAGGTCACGGGTATTATTCCCTGAAATGCTGACATATTTTTTCTTGTAAAGAATTAAAAGTATACAAAAGTATCCTTGATCCACCTTGACTTGATTTTTGTCAAAGGTGACAGGAAGGGGTTCAGATTCATCTTTCTACAGGTGGAAATCCAGTTTTTCCAGCACCATTTGCTGAAGAGGTTTTCCTTTTCCCATTGGATT